CTTAAACTTTCGGAAGTACCCCGAGCCAAAAATAGAAAATCTTCTGGGTTATCGAGTGTGCTGAATACGAAAAATCACTTTTCAGCAACTCTAAACCAACTTTATTTTTTTTGTTCCGGTGATATGTACCCGTAGAGATGCATGCAATGAACAACTTTTGCATTGACATAAACTTTCCAAAATGCTACGTTAAAACGGGGGACTGCGCAAGAAATACTTTTTGCGCTAGGCTGATTTTTGATCGATTTTTTCAATTTTTAAAAATTTCATCTCTCCGCCAAAACTTATCCAACCTATGAGTTATTGCACACGTATATCCTTGAAGGTGTCGTCTTCAAACTGGCAAAGTTTGAGGATATGTTGGGGAGGGAGTACCCGCCTGAATTTCGACCTTCGTCGTATTTTCTATGCCACTTTTTGACACAACATCATAAAACCTTGGCCAGCACCTCATTTTGTGGAGAATTGAAGGGGCTGTCGAATGATATGGTTGAAAAACTTCTGAAAGAAATTTTAAGCTTACTAGGTTTTCTAGAAAACCGGGTTTTTAAAAAATCCTTTCAAGACCCTGAGGTATAGCATAACTTTTCTTCCTCGAAATATATAGAACTCCGCGCGCTCTTTCATTTGATACCAACCTCAAGGTTCTGCGTTAGGGAATGTGATCAGCAGACGTTCGACAAGTTAGGCCAAATTCGCCGGAAAATGCATTTTTCCACTGCGAGGATAAAATAGCTATAACTTTTTTTCTAACAAGGCTAGAGATTTGCAGTTTTAACCATTCGGTTCAGCTTACTGAGCTCTATAATATAAGGTAGGTTTTCTTACCTATAGGTCGACGGAAGAACTAAAGGTTAGATCAACTTCGTACAGATAGGTAAAACGCAGATATGTGTTGTTGATCAAACTTACTTCCATAGAAAGTTAAGGAGAAAATTAAATGAAGGGTACTCAACATAATGAAATGGACCAACTTTCTAAGCCGAAAAAAATTTTTGTTCAACTATTTTCATTGAGCTGGATGATAAAAAGAAGAGAATATATACATTTTGTAGCACTTGAAAACCTCCATCAACTAGTACTAAGTGCACAAATACAAAATCGAATCTTTGAGGCTTTGCAAAATTTGAATGTGTAGATTCGGAGCTCCCGGAAAATGCTGCATAACGAAGCCAAAATAGCATCTTTTTAGCTGTCTTTTTTTATTTTGATGAGAAACGACACCTATGCCAGATCCAACGGTGGAAGTTAGGTTAAGGCTTTCTTCATAAATTCACCTGTCGAACAATAGCAGATTTTAGTCACTTTGAGGTGAATTTCAGAATGTTAGATTTTCCAGTGTTCACTTAGATTTAAACGAACTTTGAACTGTATATGGATAAAGAGTACATTTCGAAGTACTCAAAAATATCTTCACTTTTGTTCCATTGTCTTTAAAATTTGTTTAAAATATTCTAAAATTTGTAAAACAAAATAGCTTAAAAAGTTGGTCCGTTTCATTATGTTGAGTACTCTTCGTTTAATTTTTCTCCCTAACTTTCTATAGAAGTAAGTTTGATCAAGTCTTGTAGAGAATCTGACGCCGCATCTTTTAGAAAAACAGTTAGGTCTAAGGATTGAAAAGAAAAAAAGTTATAAGTAAAATACGAGGAGGGCCATTTATTCTGGGCCACCCGATATATGACTATTTTTAACGAGTGAGCCGGACTAATGCAAAATTTGGCTATTTTTAACTAAGGAAAAATTTTTACACTAAACTAAAACAGATTTTTCTATAATTTGGTACAACTGACTGTAGTAGTATGCTTACTTCTATTATATTATAAAACTTTGAAAAAGTTTGTTTTAAAAATTGTATTTTAAACTTTTTTAGAAAAATTTAAATCTTATAAAAAAGTTTTGGCTGATTAAATTATTAGAATAAAATATTTTTCATAATATATAAATGTTAAGGTATAAAACTATGATTGGGGAAAGAAATATTTTTTTCTATAAGTTGCTTAAAATTAAAATTCTCAATAATTAAAAAAATAAAATTGTTGAAAAATAAATAATTCAAAATAACTTTCAAGAACTATTGAGGTTTGAGCGCAACGAAAATGCGCACCTAGGTAACTGATAGTGGCACATTCGAAGGACGCAGGCACGACGTCGATGAAGGATCCCTAGAAGATCTTCAGATAAACTTCGGAAAATCTTTTGATAAATATTGAGATTTGGAGCCGAAACATCAAACTGTAATAAGAAATTGACTATGCGCATCTAACAGATATACGTTCAAACTTTTGCGATGGCCAGTAGAAGATTCTGGAGATCTTCCTGAAAACTTTCTAGTAGGGATTTTTGGTTATCCATGATAATTGATCAGTCATGAGCGATGAAACATCATCTTTTGTGGTAATGCATAGATTAACATTTAGTGGTCTCGAAGTGTTATTGACATTCGACTGATAATTGCGTTTATTAGTACTACTGCTATGTATACGACAATTAATGTGTTGACGCTATTTAAAATATCGATATTAAAATTGTGAAAAATTAGGATTCACATAGTGTTGTTGAAAGTGCCGTCAATTATATTGTGAAGTAATTACTGCATGATGAAATGCTTTGTTGACCGTCTGTTGTTGTTATTGACAATGAACTTAGCGTTTTATGTAATTCGTCTGTTCGCTTTTTTGCGAGACCGAAGTTTTCTATCAATGTATTGTCAAATAAATTACCATCATCATTATTAGCAAGTAATACAGATTTTAACAACAATTCTTTACCCTATTTTAGATTATTAACAAATCGACAAATGAATAGTGTACGTCTGAAAGATTAGTCCACGCTGTCATTGCTTGATGCAAACGTTCTTGTATCGATTTAAATTGATCGTTGTATTTCGATGTTAATGATTTCCTATTAAATATCGATCAGTTATTGACATGTAGGTGTTTTCAAACACCTAATTTGGGTGTTTTGGCACTGTGAAGAATCGATGATTTAGCATCTACTGGACATCATCACCACATTTGTGAAGATCATCTGGATTGTATTAATCCACGATTTTATAATAATATCTGAATTGCAGTTATACTATTATTTGTACTATCGGTTTGGTGATCAGGGTTATTAGGTTTTTGTAATGTGATTGTATTTGTTTTATTGGTCATCTATTAGCTTTGATTCATTCTAAATATTTGAATCATATTAAATATTGTATTTATAATGATAGTATTTTGTGATGAATGCATATAATGAACGTGAATGCAGAAAAATAAAGAAATAAAACAAAATTTTCTTTGAATTGCTAGTAAAATGAAGAGAGTACGAAGTAATTGTCTTATAGTTATGAAAGTTGAAGTTTAGAAAATAAAATTGTTAATGTAGTGATGTGTTTTTAAGTCGAAGTGCAGAACTTTATTCTGTCATCTAAAATATAAGCTATCTCGACTTACATTTGCTGCGATCATCATCGTTTTTATAAAATTAACGATTTATTCTTCTTCATTATTTGAATACAAGAAATTTGTGTTCTTTTGTATAAGCAGAATTCTATAAATACTGTTCAAATTTTTTTATATGGTTTAAGATGGTGGTATTTTTGATAATTCTGTCAAATGTATTTATATTTTTTTCATTTCAAATAAGAATATAAATAAAACAAAAAACAATCGAACACTGTGCAAAATAAAGATCTTCTACAAATAAAAAACAAAAGTTTTCGATTTATAATGAGAAAATTTTCAGAGCAAAAAAATATAAATCGAAATGATTTTTGAGAGTTTTTCTTGTGCACAGCATGCATAAATTTAAACTAAAATAAAACAAAAGAGAACATTGTGTGTATAGATAGAATTGCATATAGTTAAGATTACTCGTGAAAGAGAATCATAAAATAGTATGCATCTGTGATAAAAATAAAAATAAATGAGAAATACGTTGCTAATCTAGCAAAATTAAATGAAAAACAACAGCAATATGCGCGGTTTCTTCTAGAAAATTCACAACGGCATACTGAATTAGAAAAAATATATATACATCGATAGTCTATGAATTTGATCATAAACAAAAAATAAAAAATAGTCATTAGTATTTTTTATTCATATCTTTAAAAATGAGATAAAATCATGTCACAATATAGAGGAAACAGAGATAATGACTAAGATCTCTGACTTCTTGAAGCAATTGCTTTTTTAGCACAACTTGAATTTGAATTTTATTTTTATTTTTCTGTGATTCTAGAGAAAAGAGGTTATAAAGAAAGAAATTGATTTAGCATATTTTTCGATAATTTTACATTGAATCGAATATTTCACTAGATTTAATTCTTATAATCTAAATTTCTAAAAGATAGGCTTCACATGATCAGATTTCAAAAAAAAATTATTCGTCATATTTTGTTTTGAGATGATGAGAAAAGAATATTGAAAAACTGTATAATCACTCGAATAAGATGTAGTACACATCGATTAACGTTTTTCGATTTAGCTGTACAAAAATAATGAATTATTTTCAATTTATAAGGGAATATTCCTTTAAATATTTTAACTGAGAGTGCTATATATTGAATTTGTTTTTCAAAAACACGTATCAAAATACGAAAGTTTCATATGTGTAAAAAGAAAAAAATAGCGTACACACAATTATAGGCATTTACAAAAGAGACAAACCACACACGTAGTTACTAAATACTAGAGATAAGCAGAAGAAGTGATATAAAATCGAGAAAACATCGTGTATTCTCTTTCATGGTATGTTTTTTGAAAACAACAGCAGCAATGACAAACAACAAACACAAAAATAGAGGTGTGTGTTTTACACATACACATGTTGGACGGAAGAGAAGAAGCAAATATTTTTTTCTGTTTTCCTAGACTAAAGAAGAATAACGTATTAATAAGATTTCCCTGCAAATGAAAAAGAGAAAAGAAAAAAAAAAAAAAAACTAGTAAAAATAGAAAATCATTTTTGATTATTATTATTATTATTATTATTCAATGTTAATGAATCAAATAATTTATATTTTTGTATCAAAAATAATTTTTGTTTAACAACATCTGGAATTTCTCGTTGTCCAAAACGATCAAAATAATAACGTTTTCCATTTGAATCGGTATATATTTGTTCTTCGTCTAAATTTACGGTCAATCTCATTAAACTACCATCAATAAATTGAATTTCTACATCGCCATTATGTTGTTGACAAATGGAACCGACACCGTGAACATTTTTCTTAAATGGAGTAGTAGCCGGTGCTGTTGTTGTTGAACCACTTGCAGTAGAATTTAAGGAGGTCGTTGAAGGAAAATTTGTGTTCGAATTTGAATTACCTAAACAAAACAAGTATAAAAAAACTATCATTTTTAGTACACATATGCTTTATACTCAAGAATACAATATCTGATCATTTGTGTCAGTTTTTTTCGCATCTTACCTAGTCGTGAGAGTGAAGAGGAAGATGAAGAGGGAGGCAATTGAGTAACTGAATATTGTTGATGTTGTTGCATAGGTATAGCTCGATAAGTATGTGGTTTTATGGCTATTTGTTGATCTGTTGTCGATGTTGTTGAATATTGTGGTTGATAGAGAACAGCATGTGTCGCTCTTGTCGATGATGATGGTATATTTTGAATTAATGACGATGTTGATGAGGATGGAATGTTATTATTTAGAATTTGATTTGAAGACGTAGCTGATGTTGAATTATTTGTATTTTGCGAGCGCCTAATATCGGAATCACTTGCAAATGTACGACGAATAGGTAGTGCATGGCCAGATGTGTAAAGAGTGGAAGTGGGAGAAGTATTTGAACCACCACCACCTGCTCCTCCGCCATTACTCGATGTTAAAGGCAAACCGAGTTCATTTACAGTCGAAGAAGAACCAAATTGTTGAGAGAGAGAACGACCGATTGAACAGGCCGAAGCTAAAATAAGCGAAAAAAGAATGAATAAAATAAACAATATATGTCTTCATGTATGATGTTTTTGAGATTAGCAATAAAAGCACTTGAATAAACTGTTATTTTGTCTATTGATAAATGTCAACGAGCTTCAGCTTTTCTAAAGTCCATTTTTGACTTCTTAACATTTAACTACTGTTTACCCACCCGGTCTATTGTCGTGTGATGTACTTGATCTTTTTCCAAAAATAACGGGAAATGTTTGAATATAAGGAAATAAATGTTGATCATCTTCTAATAAACGATCTTTTGATAAACAATATTTATAATACTAAAATACATTATAGTGAGATTATTAATCATTTTTTATTAAAATAATTATTGTGACTACATACTTTAAATGAGTTTTCTAACATTTTTTGTAGTTCTGGAGCAAAATGTCCAGTTCCAGATAAATTTGGTGTTATCGCTCGTTCATAATCTATAAAAAATCAAAATGATATCAAGTTAAAACAATTTCAAATTATCCGATATATACCAAGTATGGTTGTTGATCCATCTACTCCGTTTGATAATTTAATTTTTAATGGATCATCTAGTTTAAAACCATCACGATAGATCATTATTTTTACGCCACATACAAAATTTACCTACAAAAATGAATATTGAGCAAATAAAAATGAAACTATATTTTACGATACAGACAGACAAATGATTGTTATTTCACAAATACTTTAATAATTTGACATCCAACGAGACTACACTAATTTATGTAATCTGACTGAATCAAATCATCAAATCACTTACTTCAAAATCAACAGCTGTTTCCATAAGTACACATTTTGCTTCTGGTGTATGTAAAACAACTTTGTGTGTACGAGAACGAACAAGATTAACAAATCTAAAACACAAGAACAAACACAAATAATGTGAATCGAAATTACATTTGTGAGGTTCTTACTTGAGTGCATATTGATATTTTTTCCAATATGCCGATGGTAAATTATCAAATTCATATTCAAGATAAGCACCCTTATCTTTTGGTAATGGAGGCGGATAATCGCCAATTGGAGAACCATGACGGCTATTTGGAACATAGCTTATAATCTAAATAAAAAGAATAATGAAGATTAATAGTAAATCTAACGATTAGTAATCAAAAGAGTAATCAAAAGAGTCCTTTAAATTTTAAATTCAATTTACCTTATTTCCATCTGTTGATATTCTAAATACATCAATAATTCGTTTTTTTGTTCCTTTTGTTCGAGTTGATTCCAACACAACCTCGCCATTTTCCAATATACTCATCTAAAATCACATAAAGTCATGCTATTTAATGGACGAATTATAAAATTGAAATGTTGAGTACGTACAATAACGGATCTTGTTGCTTGTCTCAATGGTCTTAATCTTTGTGTATTCAATTGCTGTAAAACTTCATGAATATTGTGATGTTCACATGAATCATCAAGATTGGCTGCTGGTGGTCTCATTCCTTCTGTAGTCATAGAAGTTTGTTGTTGTTGTTCATTAGATGCAGCATTACTTCTTGTTGATCGTATACTTTGTGCACCTGATACTGATGAGAGACTTGGTGATGCAAGACCATTTCGATAAGATGATGAATATTTTGATGATTCAGCGCCACTCGATTTGGCACTATAATCACGTGACGATTTTAAATCGGAACGAGGTAAACCACTATCACGAGAAACAAGGGAAGATGAAGCACTATCGGGACGATTAGTATCATTCGTATTGTTGTTATTTGTTGCTGTCCATTCGCTACCATTACGACGAATATCCAATGATGGACTGAATAAAGTAAAAGAAAGATATAAATATAGATTTATTGAACTATTTTGTTTTACTTCTAATACCTTCGTCTTGCTTTAATTGGTTGTGATGGCGTTGTAGAGTTCTGATACATAATATTTGATGATGAATGAACGACTGGAGTAGAAGTTGCCGGATAAACATTGTCGAGTAAATCATGTGGTGTTTTAGATCGATTGAAATAGGACGGCTGTTGAGATGATGATGGCGACATAGGATTTGCTCTAGTAAAATAAGACAAGATAAGTAATAGATATTGAAAAGGTATTCATACTTACGTATAGAGATTAGCTGGATAAGTTTTATCGTATGTCGATGGTGGATTCTGACTTAAAATTGATGGTCGAGAATAACCAGATCTCACAGATGATGCTCCAAGACCGCTGTCAACGGACGCATCCGGACCCATCGTCTAAGAAGTAAGAATATTCGATAAAAAAATTAATATAAACAAGAGTAAAAAATACGAACCAAAAATAATTTTTCATAACTTCTTTCATAGGTTGATGAATGTCTCGAATATTCTTTTGAAAAAAAGGGATGTTCTTTGACTTCTAGAAATAAGAAAAAAAAGGAATGACATAAGGTGTTATACATTATCATTCTAGTTCAATTAAGATAACACCTTTCATGCATAGTATAAACCATGCATTTTTAATGACACGTAATTATTTTTTTCATTCTTTTCCTCTCTCTTCAAATCACAAATATCGACTCGTTATTAGGTTTTAATGCAATTATTCCTGACAGGTATCTACCGTAGAAAGAAGAACAGAATTGAACAATTTTTTCTTTTTCATTTGTGTGTGTGTTCAATATAAGTGTAATTTTTCGATGAACACACGCACAACCTTCATGTCTCTTGTAAAAGCAAACAATGCAAAATGTTGAAATGACTGATACTAGACAATGATGTCCTTTGTATATAGAAAAAAATTGACACAAAAGATCATATATGTAGACAAGTACATTTTAGGAGTAAACGACTGTATTCAGAAAACAGTCATGGCTACTAGGGATGTTCGGTTCTCAATTCTTGTGCAGAACTGGAACCGCGGTTCCTTAGACAGTTCCTTTTTTCCGAGGCCGAGACTATTTGATTTGCCTTTCTTTTAACAAGATGAAAACACACTATTGACAAGGCTACAAAAAGATATAATTGCCTGTCATCATTTAAAAGAATCCTTTCGTTTACTATAGAATGAATTCTGTTTCGTTGAATTGCTACTGCTTGAAAAATTATCTTCCGGTTCTGAGCTGAGACCGAGAACCGCAATTCTGTTCTAACTTCGGAACCGGAACCGCGGTTCTTTTCGTTTCGGTTCTAACTAGAGAACGAAATCGAGAATCGAACATCCCTAATGTCTACTGATTTACAACGATCATAATTACTAACGTGAGTCTCGTAACAGATTGAATTCCCACGAGATTCCTGCACGAGTCAGACGGGACTTTCAAGGGACTCCCGCAAGGCTTGAAACTCCCACAGGAGTCCCATGAGAGTCCTGGAGTTGAGACTTGGAAATTGAGAAAGTTGAGAGTCCAAGTTCCATCCGATTCCCGCAGAATTCCGTGCCAGAAGGCTCGTAGGAGTTTTGTCGGGAGTCTTCACGAGGGCTTTATGCACCTGAGTAAGTGATTTTTAGTCACTCCAACTAATTTGATGGAACAAAATAGACTCTGCTGACAAGATCATTTTCAATCTTCAATTAGCTCAAAATATTTTTGTTTACTCAGCAGACTTTCCACCCCCCTTCCAAAACTTGTATAAAAAATGCTGTACTTACGTGCAAGTGTTAATCTATTTTCTGGTTGTTTTTGCAAAATATTATTAATTAAATCTTGTGCTTCTTCGCTTAAACTTGACGGTAATTCATAATCAACTTTAGCTACCCGACTTAGAGTCGATAAAATATCTAAATAAAATAAAAAAGTAAAATTGTTACTTTATTGCATGATGGCATCTGATCCGTTATAATGTATTGCTCCTATACCCCATTGTTCTCTCTTTGTTGAAAACTGACTTTACTCAGAATCACAGATTAGATGGATAGTTTCTAAGAAAGTTATATATTATTAAACAATAAGATCGACAGATGTAACATACTTTCAGTATCAAATGGTGGTCGACCAGTAAGTAGAGTAGAAATTAATATTCCTAATGACCATACATCAGTTTCAAAACTATGAGCACTTCTCATTGCTATTTCACTAGAATGAAGAAATGAGTGATGAAATTTTTTCATTATCAATTGTGTTTTCCATAAATATATGTCTTATGAAATAAACATATACATACGGTGATAAAAAATTTGGTGTTCCACACATAGTATGATTTTTTTCATCTCTTGTTTCCACTTTTTTTGCCAAACCAAAATCGGCTATTTTCTATAAAAACAAAACAAAATAAAACAACATATAAAACGTTTTGTCATCATTCTCAATCAATTAGCTACGTACAATATCATGATTTTCTGTTAATAATAAATTTTGCAATTTAATATCACGATGTAATATTCCGTGTCCATGTAAATATTGTAAACCTTCAATTACTTGTTTAATATATATTCGAGCTAGAAAAAAATAAATTTTATTAATAGTTTTTGTATTTTAAATAATTATGAGATAATTAACTCTTTCTTGCCTTTGGCTAAACCTGACGGTTTTGAAGGACAACAGAGGTATGTAGGATGATCCTACTCTACCCTGTTCTATTAGGGTAGGTTAGAGTGCAAACTTTATAGGGTAGGATAGGTTAAGGGTACGAAACATTTTTATAGAGTAGGATAGGACACAGGTTAAGACGTTTGTCATAGACTGTACCCTATGAGATAAAGAACGCTTAGTATTGCGAGACATTCTCTAGTTCAAGTGAATTAAATTTTTATAAAATGGTGCCTATAGGGCAAGAAAGGGTTAATATCGTTCAAAATTATTTATTAAATACCTACTTTCATTTTCACTAAGAACTTTTTTAGATTTTAAATATTTTTCTAAATCTCCTTTATGACATAATTCTAATATTAAATAAACATAATTTTCATCTTCAAAATAATTAAGTAACTAAAATATGTATAATAAAAACAATAATAGTTTTTTATTTTGTTTGTTTAATAATTAAAAATAAAAATAAATTTTTTAAATTTTAAATAAAAAAATATATTTACGTCAACAATATGTGGATGTTTTAATCTTGAATGAATTTCAATTTCACTTTTTAAACGTTCATGCATTGTACCACGAGTTTGCATTCGATGTTGTAAACTAGTTTTTTGAATTTTTTTACGATCAATCTATAAGAGAAATAAACAAATAGATAATTAAGATTCAAGATTGTTTTATTTATAATAAAAATAAGAAAAAAATACGAACCATTTTACAAGCAACTTCTAAATTATCGATTTTACGTGTTGCTTTGTATACTGTTGCAAAGCCACCTTTACCCAATTCTTCAAATACCTTATAGTCCTAGAATAAATAAACAAAGATATTAAAGAGATGTATTTTAAATATGTCTTTGTCTCACCAATGTGTAAATTAAACATAGAATTTTTGTAGATAAAAAATGGAATTTTACAAATGATTTATACTGGAAAAGGGAATACTTCTCATATTTCTAGTTTAAGAAATATAGTTTATTTATAAAACATTTTTATTCATTTTTTCTCTTCCGTCACATTATCATTGCATTTTTAAACACAAATGGAATTTTATTTGAACAATCAATGTTAAAGTTTTTTTGACCACTTAGTTGAACTAACCTATACAAATATGAAACTATATCAAAAAGAAATATTTTCATTTTGTAGACAATTATATAGTTGTAACAACACAACAGCATGGAAAAATTATTTCTAAAAAAAATCAATCATTCTTGTCTCCATATCATTTGAAATAGCAAAATTAAAATGACAAAACATTTGCAATAATCCATTTTTTTGTAATGAAATGTTATTGTAAAAACAAGTCATCAGACATGGTTTTTACAATTTCTATCTTCTTTATTCTTGAAATCAATATATTTTGTTTTTTATTTAAATAATTAAGTTTAAAGAATAATTGATTATTATATTGAAGGATGTTTGCTTAGTATCCAGTACTGGAAAAATATTTAGAAACAATTTGCTCTTTTTTTTTTCTATTTGTTTTATTCGATCGGATTAGTTCGAATAGCTTCAAAAACAAAACAAAAAGATTTGAATAGTTAAACGTCTTTTTAATCAGAAGTCATGTGTATAAAAAAATGTCAAATCGAAATTTTTATACATGTGATGGAAAACTATTTTTGGCAAACAATTCATTTTTTATAAAGCAAACAAAAAAAAGAAAAGAAAACAAGGTGTCTCCAAGCTTCTTATGATATTTTTTAGATGTGAAAAAGTTTTTAATCTTTTTCTTTCGAGGTTTTCATTTTTATGGATTAACTTTTAATATATGGGATATTATTCTGACGGAAATTTGCTTTTTCAAACGTTACAGGATCGTTTCTGGTGATTTTTTTATTTTATGAATAGTTTTACAATGGCATTTTATTGAAAAGAAATTTTTTTTTATTTTTATTTTTTTGTTACTGTAAATTTTGCGGTTTCAACTATGCTCTTTCAAGTGCAAAAAGAAGAAAAAAATGAAATTAGTCAACCTATAGGAGAACATTATAAATATAAAATAATATTTTGAGTTTTTTTAAAAATTACTTTTGCGTGATATATTAAGGTGTCATCTTCTTTGTTAATCACGCTAAAGAGCGTGGTTGCTGCATTACCATATACTATAAAACATTTCAAATAGAAAAGAAACTTCATTTTCTTTTCTTTTTTTTTTTCTTTTATCATTATTTATGTCACTCTAGACTCGTAGAGAAAAAAAGAAATTAATCAACATCTTATTTATGAACGATTTTGAGTTTACTTCCGATTTTTTTATTAATTCGAATTATAAAATAATAATAGTTAAATGAAGGAGAAAACACACAAAAAAAGTTAACATTATGCTTGAATAAAATTTTCTTACACATTACACTGTATGAAAGAGATACTTTTAAATAGTAAAAGATATGTATTAGATAGTATGATCAATAGCTAAAGTTGAAAAATAGCATGATAATTTTGAAACAAAAAAAAGAAGATGATAAAATTATTGTAGAAATCATTTTATAATTAACATATCGATAAATATTTGAAAAATCCTCCAAATTATTCGAATACATTATTTAACTTGTTCATTCTCAATATCAAACTCTATTATTCAAGTTTCCAATTATTACCAAGTATTCGAGGTATAAAATAAAAAATGCAATTCATTCAAATAAAATATAAGAACGATAGCTCACGTTTTCAAGTATAAAATGGAAAGCAAATCTACTGAGAATAAAAAGTATAAAAGAAAAATTTTCAAACCACTTTAAATTTATATTATCAAAAAAAAAAATATGTATTTTTTTTCCATTAAAATACCATTGACCAATATTTTCTTCTTTTTTTTTTTATGACAATTACATATAACATCAAAATTAATCCTTCTCATTGTTATCACGTTTCAACAACAAAAACAAACATTGTTTGTACTACAACCGAAGCAAAAAAATATTTTTTTGAAACTAGCTTAACCTCGGTTAACGGGTACATTTATCTAGAGGCAGCTAATTCTAATCTAGCTTCAAAAAATAAACATTTTTTTGCTTGAAAAAGTGTTGTAGAATCATTTCAAAAGACTTTAGTAGTTTGTTTTCTTCTTTACTTAAAAAATTTAAAATTCAACCATTTTCCAAAAACAGACGTCTCTATTATCGTCTTCTGTATTTTTATAAAATTTTCAATCATAAAAGTTCCCTATCCTCTTTTGGTTTAATTTCACAGTTAATAATGCGTTAAAATTCTCGATTAGGTCATGATAATCGCGTGTCTTTGTTTAAAATCAAAATCTTCATCTAGTTCTTGTCTTTCATGAACATCAAAAGATTGAAAAATGAACTACCTTCTATCTTAGCGTGTCAGCCTTCTTTATCCCCATTTAAAGAGATCATACAATCTGTCAATAATTTCATGTATACCCACAAAATATATGACTAATATTTATTTTACTTTTCTATGTATATGTATAGAAGAAATTCTTCTTTAATTAAAACTTTTAGTTATCTGAAAAGGTATTCACATGGATACCACAAGTCTTTTGTACTTTTTTGATTATATTTTCTACGTTTTGCGTAAATAAAATTCATTCATTCTTTGGAAGAAGATTGTGAGAGTGAATGAATTCAAGGATACAACGAACAAATTTTTAATGAAAATTTATTTAGTTCACTTTATGGCATCAGCAGTTCGTCAATTGTAGATAATATAGTGTAGAAAAAACGATTGATAGCTCTTCGTATTATTTTCTTTCGTTTAGAAGAATATCAAAGATAGTGTTGACTAAATGAATAGTTTATCTTTTAAATAAATATTTTTTTCGGAAAAAATACTCTATTTGATTTTGATATGACGAACTAAATAAGTATAAATTTATTCGACTTTGAAATCGATAAAATGTCATATCTACATGTTATTATTTTACAATTTCTTATCTTTCAGATGGAAGTTGTAGGTGAATGTTTTGACGTACATATAAACTGCATAAATGATTTATATATATCATTTTCTTTTTTTCAATGTTTCTCTTTATAGTACTCTTTACAAACTATCGTTTATAATCAGCATCACTTTTGCGGATCATAAATAAAGTAATACAACAACGTTTTTATCTTTTCCTTTGGATTATTAGAGATAATAATAAAAGTAGAAAGAAAAAAAAGTTTTGTTTTAAAAATTGCTGTATGTCTGACAATCGTAAAACGAACAAAAAAAGAAAAAGAAAAAAATAGAACGAGAGAGAATGTTAAATAACACAAAAAGACATTTTAAATGAGTTATAAAAGCATAATTAAAACAAAGTATCTGCGATACCTAACGTAACAACGGATGTACCCTGTTATTGCATGAACTATTACATATGTAAACAGTTAGAATCAAATGAATGTACACTTATTAGAGATAGTCTGAAATAAATTAGTCTTCTATAAGAGATTTGAATAAAAACATCGGCGTACTTTTTTCTTAAACCGTTCTCTGTTATTCTGATAATATACACAATTCATTATTCCCAATATTTTATAGCTGATCTATTCCTCATACAAAACATCTATTGTTTAATGAGAAAGTTCGAAATACATTTTAATTTATAAATTTAAAATAAATAATATTAATAGTTTTGTTAAAAGAAATCATGTATTTCTACTTTAAATTTGCCTAGTATTTTTGGGCAAACTGAAGTATCGTGGTATATATATATGGTAAAAGTGAAAAAATCTTAGTATGGTAAACTTTTTTATTAGTTATAATAACTGATACTTGAAAATAAGCAAATACGCAATGATGATCATACTTAGAAATTGCATACTTTAAAAACGAAATCAGTTTCTCTTTCTTCATGTATGTTTTACAACAAAGTGAGATATCAAGAACGAGAGAGAGAAGAGAGTAACTAAAAAACCTTAATGCTGTTTTACACAACAATTTCGCCTGACAACATGCATTATACGATTGTATTACTCTTGAAACTTTAATCAAATAATAAAAGGAGTGGACCACTTTTACATTTTTTTTATAACTAATAAAACTATAAATAGATGCATTCCAATGTGCATGCTATATGAAATACTATATCGTCCTTTTGGATAATTGAAAGTAGACAAAAAAAAAATGAAATGGAAAAAAGTTGTTGTCGTATTTTCAAGCTATTCCCAAGTAAAAAAAATAGTCTTTGACCACAAGAAATACAAAAGATTCCATTTCTATTTGTTATCAAGAGTATTTGGGCCAGTTTTATCTAATTTTTTGACGAGTTATCAGTTTAACATGATGAATTTCGGAATCAATGTATTGTTGTCGTTTATATAAACTAACAGACAAACAACGTAGAGACGATAGGATACCGCTAGTCTTGATACTTAATCGTCGACGTCAAGGGCCTTTAAAATCAGTAAATGACTTTTTTTTAAACTGTTGCTTAAGATTAGCAGATGGATTTAGCATCGCTTGTTGTGGTAGAAATAGCCAGTATTCCAGAACACGTTATAGGTTTCTTCACAAAAAAATGATGAACATTCTCTATGTTCGTTGAAAAGAAGATTCTAAAGTCTTTCAGTAATTCTCACTGAGAAATAACTCATTATATCGAGTATGACTGTATTTCTGTCAAAACATTATTTTCATGAAAACAAAATATTGACAACCTATTAATATGAGCTGTTAATTAAACAATAGATGTATGTTTAACAATTAGTTTTTTACTCTTCTGTTCTCTCTTTGATAACTTGACACTCTCTTTGTCTACTAGTATGTATAATAAGCTTATTTATAGTCTGCACTCATATTTGAGAGAATCTCTCTACAAATAATGACAATGCTGCTGCTATCGTTACACACACGCATACAAAATTGTGAAAGAATAATAACTACAGAAATATATGATAATTTGGAATAATTGAATTTTAAAAAAAGAAACGAAAAACTTTACGTCATCTCATTTCATTTTTGATAGACTCGCAGCAAAAATTGAAGCCTCGATTTGTTTAAACAAGAAAATAAAGAACTTGTGTGCGGCGGACACACACACACCTTATCACAATAGCACATTCACTACTACTACTACATATGGTGGTGGTTTTTAGGCAAAAAGAAGAAAAAAAATGTTCGACACTCGAATGAAAGTATTCAGTATGAAGAAGAAAAAGAAAAACCGCTTATTGTCTGAATGAAATAATAATGATGATGATGTGTCTCAACTTAACTGAACAAAAAAAGTTTAAAGTTTATAATGAGTATAGAGGAATATATACTAAAATAAGTAGATATAACACTTTCATACACAATTGTGACATGTTATTAAAGCACAACAAAACTACTCATAATAAAATGGAAAAAAAGGAGGATCAAGCAAATTTTAATAGACTGCTGTATAAAATGGTAGTAACCAAAAGAAGAATGCATATCGACGGTAGAAAAAATACGCATAATTTCACATGTTTTCTTTATCGGAAAAAATTGCTCATGCTACATTTTCGAAAATGTCAACGGGAGCGAGCCATAAATACAAAAAAAAACATCTGAAAAATACCAAATGTTTGAGCAAAAGAATAAGATAATGGAGCAACAAGTACGCGTTTCTCTCATTACTAATGTTTAACAGTTTTCTTTCGATATATCAAAAAACAACAATAGAATATTCTGCCTCGTTTTTCTCATTTAGAAACAATCATGGAACT